AAACCTTGCTGGGAAGAGACCCTTTTTTTGTTCTATGTTAGTGTACATTAATACTGACTTGGTTGATGAATGTGGGTCTAGTAATTCTGATAATAGTATAAAAGATATAATATTCTTTATTAGCTTCTGATGTGTTTGACTCTGAAAGCTGGAGGGACGTAGTCAGCTTGATAGTGGAACAAACTCCATCAATAAATGGCAATAATTTTAGAGTTGGTCGTTTGGTGCACAAACTAATTCGTATTAATTGAGCGCACATGCATGTTATCTATTTTGTATTCTGCAAACTCCTTTGGTACATGCGGTATATGGTACAAACAGTATGAGTTTTATAGCTTCTTTGATATGCTAGAGTGAGTGCTCTTAGCATTTTTGATGACTCACACTGTCACTCATGTGAATTAATAAGTGATCTGAACTCTTCAGTGTAATGAACCCTATCATTTATTAAAAAGGGAAAACTGTTCCCATAATTAGTGTGGTAATGTTTGACAGGAAAAGTGATTTTTTGAGGGACTACTACAATTAGATATTGTCAGTAAATACTATTAATTTTTATGCTTGACAAAGCACTTTCTGGTAGCAGACTGGATAAAATGTAAAGAAGTGTTCATTGTACAAATGTTTTTTTAACAAATTTTGACTAGTGTATATGCCATCATTTTTTAAATGGTTATGAAATACAAGAATTCCCAGTAAAGGGCTCTGTCCAAGACATGTCCTTAGGACTTTTAGTGAGGCTCAGTGTCAATAGTAAATTGGAAATGAACGTTCATCTATCTATACATCAGTACTTCTTGAGCCAGAGACTAAGTGTATCTTTGACCCCGACAGTCTTTCCATAACCTCCTTTCAATTAGTTTGTTATCACTCACACTGTGTACTGAGGAAGAAAAATAAGGTGATGTAGACTGGCCAATACTGATATAAATGTTACCACTCTGTGGAAGAACTTCAGAACTTCTTCATGAGGAAAGGAATAAAAAGTGATTATATCCTGCAATCCTCCTTTGGATGCATGAATTAGAAGGCAGTATGCCATAACAACTTACTCTTCCCCAAAATCCAGAATGTTAGCATGAGATTCTAATGCTGCTTGGATGATTAAAAGAGCATAAACACAGTGGTATGAAAAAGAATTAGTGACAAAATAACAGGTTTTGTTTTTTCACTCAGTGCACAATAAAAATTATAGATTTAAGGTATGGTCTGTGTTTTCCTTTAAAATGGTGGTGTATATTCTTGTGTTCCACAGAATCTGTCTGTGGGACCTTAAAAAACCCCACAACACACACCAGAAAATCAAAGAAAATAGAAGTCTCTGGAACATTTTTTCACCAAAAGTAAGGATAGTTTGTACTGCTTTCACCTGTATGTAAAAAAGATATAGTTCAGAGGACGTTAGGTACCATTACTCAGCTGTTTTCATTTCCTCCTCATAGCTGAATACATGAAAGGAAATGAAAAAGCACTATGAGAAAAATCTGTATTTTTAAAATATTAAAATATGGGGGGATTTATCTATACATAGCCTTAAACTCCCAATGATAGTAGATATTGTTGAAATGTTGTCCGATAGCCATCAAGTTGTTTTAGGAAAAAAAGTTGGAAAAACATGGCTGACATTCTTACTCTTTTCCAAGAATGATGTTTATTTGAATTTAGCTACATTCCTAAAGATGGATACGAGCATAAGGAACTTCAAAAAGATATTATTATGTTTTAAAACTAGTTTTAAAACTTTTTTTTAACACTTAATGTAAACCTATGGATAGTTAGTCTTAAATTTCAGTTGTGTTGAACATTGAAGCTCAGCTTCAGTCTTCAAGATGTGCCAAAGTAATTTGCGGGCAGAAGTCATTAAAAGCTTGAGACAGAAATATATACATGTAAAATAGCTTTACAGATCAGTAAACCCAGTAATTTCAGTGGGAATGTGTATGCCTGTGGTGTTATTCCCATGAATGATTGTAATATTTGATTTCTATAGTGTATGGATATAGACATAAGCATGATTACTGAGTTTACATCTCTGACATAATTTGTTGTTTGTATACATTTCATTTATAATAAGCTGACTCGGTTTAAAATGTAGCCTCAGAGAATTTATGTTGTTCAGAAATTAAACTCAGAGGATGTGTGTGGTTTCTACACTGTATCCCTTGTTACTAGAATTGTGGATTGCCTTTGAAATAATATTGTGAAGGTAAACTGTATTGTACAGATCAGTTGCCACATTATGGTCTCCTTTTTTTTCCTTCGAGAAGTTAAACCATTGGAGGCTTTTTGTAGGATCTCCAAAGAAAAAAAAAAAAAGGTTGGTAGAGAGGTTTTCACGTTACTAGTTAAGCAGCTGATTCCAAATGACATATACTGTTGGTAAAATCTTCCCTTATTTGCTTTAAAATAATCCTAAAATTATTTCAGTTAGCTCCAATGGTTGGATATAATCCTGTAGTCTAGACTCTAGATTCTAGAACAAGTCTAGACTCTAGATTCTAGAACAGACATGAATAGCAAGTTAGATTTTTATTTTGCATATCTCTATTGCTTTGTTGTGTTCAGTGATTAATAGTCTCGCTGATGAATTGGTTTGAACTTCACACCATTTAGATTTGGTGTCACAAGGTCTTATCTTAAATTTAGTGCCATCTATGGAAACTTGAATATAATTTTCAAAGAGAACAGAACTGAGCCTATATTTTAGCCATGTGGACCTTTCCTATCACTAAGCAATCTTAAATGAACAGAAGTAAAGAAACCAGCAGAGAATTAAATATGGCCAATTTGGGTATTGAATAAATAATTAGAAAACTAGACATCTTGAATGCCAGAAACCTGAAGTAGCCAGAAGTTAATACACTTGGAAAAAACCTCTTGTTGATACTGGTTTCTTTCATTTAGAAAGAACATGCTTGTTCTAAATTCAGTTTTGTATAAAATAAGAGATTGGATATGTAACTATTTTTATTGAATGAAAGACAATAGTTGCTCAGGTCTTACAAACATGCGCTAATTAACAAAGTATTACTGAGATAAGAATGTATTGTTCCTATTAGCAACTGAAAAAAAGAGAATTGCCAGTTGGCCTATATTGTGGCTTGAACATTCAGAGTCTGAAGACATTGTGCCTGCCAGGGCACTTGACAATGAAGGTGTAGCTTTGAATGTGCTCATGAAGTTCGATGTCTTTCTGTGTCTGTGACAGCTGTGACAACTCAGAATATTAACCAGCTCATTTTAAAGTATAGCTAAACAGCTGCAAACCAGATATCTTTTCAGTTGTTTAGAATCTTTTTTTTTGTCATTCCCTTCTGTCTTTCTTTATGAAATTAAAAACTCATAATTGTAATAAAACAGGCTATAATAAAGCCAGTGCATGCAAGTTTTAAACAATTGTTCTAGCACTGTAATTTTTAAGCAGTTAATGAAAGTAATTGTTTTAGATCTAGTCATGTAAGTGTAAAATTATGAATGTCTGCTCTATTAATCAAGTTGCTTTTGAATTCTAAAGAGATTCTGAGGTAGGACTTTACTCAGCGAGATATAATTGTTTTTGCAGCTCAACACAGAGTAGTCCCATTATTCATGTTTTCTTTTGAATAAGAACTCACACTGTAATTCTAAGCACTTGTGATAATTACAAAGGATATTTTTTTCTTTTTTCCCTTTAAAATGCCTTTTTTCCCCATTGGCATTGTAACAGAAAATAGAATATTATGATCAGAATAAATTCTAGTCTGGGCACTTGCATTTTGCCTTGTGAATTTTGCCCATTTTCTTCCTTGACTGTGGTGTTGTGCAGCTGTGTGTTATTAAACCGCCATTGCATGTGCCCCAAGTTTTGTGCATTTCAGAGCTTACGAAAGAAGTGAGTTATGACTGTCCAACAAGGAATTTGTTTGCTGTACAGGTGATTTTATATATATTAAAAATAGGCTTGGTATATACTTATCCAGATAAAGCCTGAGGCAATCAATAATTGAGAACATTAAAAGACTAGAAGGCCATTATATGCACATATATATATATATATATACATACATAATTAGAAATGCAAGTAACATTACACCCTTATAGAGATGGCTAAAACGAGACCTTTCTAGCAGTCGGTATTATCTAATCTCTTAAGTAAATACCTGTTATGGCTCTGCCTATTCTGTTATGGTAATGAGAGGCTTGAGACCTCAAACCATCTTCTCTGGTGTTTTGCTCTTCCTCCAAGCTAGCTGAACTCTGGAGCAATGCAGCAGGCTTGTCTAGTGGGAAGTCAAAACCATGAGGAGTTGATCTGAATTTAAGCTCCTCTTTGCTGAAGCTGTATGATGAAGCAATGTCTGAGTTTGTTTATGGCTTACAAAGACAGTACGTAGATACGGTCAGTGGCTCCAGCTGCTATTTGGCTTCTTGCTGTGTGACTGGAAGCCAGATATTTTCAAAAGTAGTCAGTTGTTCTGGTGTCTCCAATTTTCCAGTATTTAACCATAGTGTTTTGAAATGAGTGCCTTAAAAATTCTGAGTGTGACTAAACCCCAAGTGAATGGAGACGCTTAGGGCAGCAGACACCTTAGCCCAGCTAGTCCGTTTTTATAGCTTGAAAGTTTTCTGAGCAACAGCATTTCCTATTGGGACCTACTGAAACCTATTGGTTCCTTTACCCTCAGATAGTCACCTCAAATGTAATGAACCTTCGTTTGGAGATGCCTCCTCTCCAAATAGTCAGTAGAGATGTAGATATACCTAGATATCTGTCCTTAAAATTCTGGATGTGTCTTCTTTCTCCATGGACTGCATGGGGAATCAATGGCTATGTTAGCCAGCATAGATTTTTTACCTTTCTCTCCTCTACTCAGACAGTTTTTGTACAGGGCAAAAGCATCAATCCAAGTAGATTAGATTTCAGACCATACTTCCAGTTTAGGCCAGTTTAGTGTAATACCTGATTAATCTGATTTTTTATGTCCCTGCTTTCTTTTTTTTCCCCTCTTTTTTTGAGGCAGGGTGAAGATCAAGGGAGGTAAGATACCCTGTCATCAGTAACTGGAGACTGAGATCCAAAGCAAGAAGCTACTGCTACAGGTATAAGCCATACCAGCTATTTTTCATTCACTGATACCACTCAGTGCTATGTGCTTTTGGATTTAATAATGTTTTTATTTGTATCTGCATGATCTGGTTATCACTGAAATGCTACTAGGTGAAGACATTAGACAGCAAAGTGTATTCTTGTCATACAAGTAATTTATAACATTTTAAAACCACAAAGATAAACAGTGCTAATAGTTGCAGCCAGAATTCACACAAACATGCCTGAAAGTTACTGATGATCCTGGTACTGTACAGTGTGACTTTTCATAAAGTTTGCAATGCAAAGTGGCATTATGAATATCATAACGAATTATTTCAGTAAGTGGTTAGGCCCAGGAGTACTTAACAATTGCTGTCATGGATTAAGCGGCACTTCAGAAGCTTGAGATAGTTGTCAATTTTGTGGGAATCTCGGCGGAGGCAATGCAGCAGGTTGTAAAAGGCAAAGAGTCTGGAGTCCTCATCAGCGAGTTGCAGGGATGGAAGGCCTTCCCACTGAGAGTAAACTTCATTTCCGATCTCACCAGAATGAACCTAAAGACACCAAATGATACTGCAATAAATGGTAGTGAATCTGACTGGATGTAGAATAGAGCCTTTAAAATAGTGGTCTTAAGGAAACACTTGTAAAGTGTTTCCTGTTATGGTTCCCACTATTCTGTATAATGTTCTATATCTTCATGCAGATTTTCAATTAACTTGTCAGTTTTTTCGGTTTATTTCCCTAAAATATGTGAAAAACTTAACTGTGTCAGTAGTGTTTTAAGAGAACTAGTGTGTTAACCAATGTCCAGTGTAATCTGGCTTTGTAGAGAAATCAAACCTTCCTTAATGCATGGACTCATCAGTGACATCTCTTTTTGGTTCACTCCACCTTGAAATCTTTGCTAGCACTTGTTCCTAGAACTTTTTTGTGTGTATCTCCAGCTTTGTCTTGGCCCGTCTCTTAGGTGATCTCTCTGATACAGGCAGCTTCAAGAACATGTTACCAGACAAATCTCTGTAACAAATCTGTACCCCAGATTCTATTAAAAAAAAAAAAAAAATGCTGAGTGACACAGTGACTTCTAATGTTAGAAAGCTATGTGTAGGAGCTTTCTCATGTAGTGAGTTAGTATCCGAGGTGAAGATTGGTTTAGATCTCCTTGTTTGAAAGAGACAGTCATTAATTTTCTCCTGTCATAGAAATCTACCTTTCATAGCAGAAAAGAAGTCTGTGATTATTGGTGTTGGTGCATCTTCCTTATTTCCCACCAGTTGTACTTTGCAAAAGCACATAGGAGAATATCTGTGGAGCTTCTATCACTCAGTTTAAGCAACAGGCAAAAAAAGATAGACCTACAATCACTCAAAAATGTGGTTTGACACTAATGAATTTGCCAGTCTTGTCTTCAACCTCCTTCTGTAAGTAATGTGAATGAGAAGGTGGTCACAGGGTAACTGTAGCAGTACCTGACTTCTACAGTTATCTTGGATCCTTGCCTGCACCCTTTTTACATGTGGATATGGGATAGAGATATATTTGATTACACTGATAAATGCATTTGTGGCCTGGATGTGCTAAGATTTCTGAGTAAAGAGACACCTAACTGAAAGAGAGAGACCATGAGTGATCCAGTGGAAAGTGGTGGATACAGTGATGGTGGCAGCCTTAATGCCATTCAACTGCTCAGGGCCTAAGCAAAAGCCAGTAAGGTCAGAACCTCTTGTTAACGTCTAGCTCACTGACAGAATGATATATCTGGGGACTAAGAGAGGCCCCTCTAAAAATAAACAAGCTAGAGCTGATTTTATTCAGGAAAGCTTTCAATCAATTACTGATAACAAGAGGTATTTGAGTATGGATTTTGTCAGACAACAGCCTTGTTGTCTAACCTTACAAGTGTAGGGAAACCAAGCTGGATCCAATGCTCAGAGAACCAGTATGGTGTGAAAAGAGATATGAAAGATACCAGGATTACGTCACTGTATGCCGCATCTTTGCAATAACCCAGACTTCCAGAACAGTTTTTAACACAGTATCTTATTCTGAAGACTATACATAATACCTCTATGTATACATAAGTGTATAAATATGATAAAACATATATATAAATATGTGCATGTGAAAAAAACAATGCATCCTTAAAAAATCAGGATTGCAAATTCTAAATACTCAAAGATAGAACGATGATTACCACTGCTGAGGATTACTCCTTCCCTTGAAGCAGGACTGGGAATACACTGGATTATGCTATGCCAGTCACATCACAGTGTCTCTTTAGAAATTGCAAGATAGCAGAAGAAAAGAAAGCTGAAAGAAGAAAACTGAAAAGTTCTCAGATTCAGCTATCTTGACTTCCTTCTTTTCCTTCACATCTACTGTTTCCTTTCCTATTCCAGGTAGGGAGTGTCTGTCGCTGTATGTGTCTTCCTTACAGCAACAGCCTGGAAGGATGATAAGGACCTAATACTTACCCGTCCAACTATTTTCTCCATTCCTTCTAGAAGCCGCTTGTTTTGTTCTTCAATCTCTACAGCCTTCCAGAGGATGGTGTCTGGAGCTTCTTTGATTCTTTGTACTTCAGAGGCCAGGTGGATCAGGGGGTCATTCCAGGAGCGCAGCACTCCCAGTATTAAATTCAGTAGGTCTTCATGCTGCTCGCCCACATTAAGAAAAGCCAGTTAAAATAGGAAGGCTAAATGCTGGCAGCATTAGGAGGCATTTAGAGCAATGTCCTCAGACATAGTGATTTGAGAACTTATTCCAGGACCTACCACTGAATGTGCCCTATAGCCCTGTCTTAGATACCTCTGTGCAATTGTGTTTCTGATGTTTGTCATTGTCATCATGTTTTACATTGTTATCACAAGCAGTTACAGTATTGTAATGGAAATGTCATTAAACCCTCTCCACTTCAAAAACTAGCAAGCACGGCTGTGCTGCACCTCTGTGAAAAAACAGAACTCCTTATCTAATTTTTGATGAAAATTTTAAAATCCAGTGACTCTTTTTTCAAAGTTTAGTACTGAATGGAAGGTGCACATTATGGTAAACCACTAAACAGCTTTTATTGCCTCTACGTAACCCATCTGTCCTCCCTTTTGAACAGTGGTGCTTCCAGCAATAGCCCTTTGGTTTTAAAAATTGTCCTTTCTTGTGGGCAATAAAATTCATAAAGCTTATGGTTATGGTAGCAGTCAAACGTTTCTTCTTTGCTAGGTGCACTGCATCTGAACACCACCAGACTTGTTAGGTACCCAGGGTTGTGAATTCTGTTGCTCCCAATAGAATTTCTGAATGACGTACTGAGAAGATGACAATACTGGGATTGTAAGGATATCACCACCATGAAACTGATAAATATTTCTCCCTGGCACACCCCTGTTCATACAGCTGTGCTTATTTTTTTTTTTTTTTTTTTTTTCTCCAGAGTATTTTCAAATCGTATTTGTGAGCATAGGCTGAACAATACTACCTTCATCTCCCCTTAAGTTTATAATTATTAAATTGACGTAGCATGTTTCTCTTCACAAGTATTTTGCAGTATTTTGCACTAGAGTCTTTGTACTTGGATGATGATGTGACCACTTTTGCCTACTGGTAACAGCAAGAATATCTATTTAGCATTTGTTTAGTAATGTCTGTTTTCAGTTACTGGAAAACTATTTATCTCTGCCTATATACAGTATCCACTATATAGCCAAGGTATTTTTATGCTAGTTAATATAATAATTATCTATAAGGCGCTTTAAGATAATGTTCAAAGGTTGTAGTGTTCTCAGGGCTGTACAAGCATGGTAATTAGCATTGTTCCACAAGGTTATATTGTAATTGGAAATAAGATGCAATGACTGAATATAACATACAGGAAAAGGAAGGGAAGATGAAAGTTACTGGTACTTACATATTCTGTATAGTCTGTAACTTAGTATCAGCAAATGTTAAACCAACTTTTCTTGGCTTTTTGGTACTTTCCTCTTCCTGGCTTTTTTATTCTGATTGAGCTGATTTCCATCTCTCACTGCTGCCTCTCTGTTCCTTAACCCTCCCTCTTCTCCTCCTCCCCTCTCTATCTCACGCTGAATGACATTAGAAATGGGACTTACATGAATCTGCTGAGCTTGCTCCTTATCTTCAGGAGTAGTTAAGGAGGAAGTGTGGCAACCATTAACAGCTTTTGTAATAAAACCCCGGCCCTGAGCATAGCGTTCATCCTGCAGATCAACAAGGACAGGCATTACTGAGACCCAGAAGTAAGAGAGCTTCAGTTCAAACACTGTATTAACTAATTGTTGTTCCATTGCTTTTATCACTGCTTTTAGACTGTAAAGGTCAAAAGGTTCTGGTGAGTCTTTAGAGTGAAACTGGCACCCAGCAAACACAAACTTGCCCCACAGATAAAGAATGATGGGAAAATGGTATCTTATAATAGAAGTGTTGGAGATCTTACCAATGGTCAGCACTATACACAGATTTGGTCACCATTGGGACTCTCACTGTCTGTGCAGCAATCATATTTGTTTACTTGTTGAAGGATTTCATATGATAACATGTGTTTGTGCTTAAAAGGTATTAAATTGCATTTTTATATTTTCTCGCTCTCAGGAAAAGGCAGAGTACTTACAAATTCATTGAATATTTCTGAAGAGAGGAAGTGGATGTAGTGAGAAAGTTTAACTGCTCGGTCAAAAAGTTCCCCGAGGGAAACCTGGCAGTTGACAGATCCATTGGGGCAGATTGGCAAGGAGGTCACTCCTTCCTTTGTCAGGAGCATGTTGGACACCAGAAGGACCACTAGCAACAAACCTGTTTGGGTTTAAAACAGACTAAAATGGAATCACATTGACTTGTATGTGCATTTAGAAGTAGCTGTCAGAGCCAGACGCTGGGTGATTTTGTCTGTGCTGCCACATGGCTCAGAGTACCTCCGTACTGGCTGCTGAAAATCAGTGGAGGAGGGCAGGACTATCATTCTGTTATCCTTTCTGCTCTCCATCATCCTGACTGTATAG